ATGATGGTGTATCAAAAAGGTTCTTTGTTAACCTTTCCGTTGTGCTGCATACGATCGAAGCGATACTCAGGATGTGTTTTACCAGCGTCATGCCCTGGTGTCCCACAGTGCTCCGTTTCTTTTCAGCTGGCCATGTGCTTCTTATGCCAGGCTGGGGAGAGGGACCTGATGGTGAAGAGAGTTAAATAAAAATAACGTTGTTGCAAACTGTCTTAATGGGTGTGGCACAGAATTATTACTATTTCTGTTATCTGAGGTGTGCTGTGTTCTAGTAGTGTGGCGGTAGCAGACTGGAGTAAGTTCCTATGCAGAGAAAAATTTAAAAAGCAAGAAGTTCGGTTACATTGTCTAGTCCAGCTGCTTCTAGGACAGAAACATGCTTTGTCTGGACAAGTTTTACTGACCCCCATCTCTGGCTCCTGTCTCTTGCCTGGGGATGTTTTTGTGGCATAGCTGTTCCTCTTTCCCCTACTAGTGCATTTTTTGGTGTCAGTCTCTTTTCTCCTCCTCCTTGGCACTTGGCACTTTGAGAAGACTGTCAGTTGTTACTTCTTTTTGCTGCTGAGGGAAGGAGGTGAAGGAAGGCAATGTTGTTTTGGAGACAGGGAAAGAGAGATGGCGGGATGGGAACAAGTGTGAACGCTGCACCTTGAGCTGTTATTTCTGGACTCTGCTAAAATAACCTCTTTCTGCTAGCAGACAAATACTGATATACCTGGCACTTGCCGAGAGTCCCTCCCCAAACCCCTGTGTGAAAGGTGCACTGATACACTATAATTTTGATACTCTCATAGCTGCGACTTCTCCTAAAAGGACATTGGTTTTTGTTTAAAATAAACTCCTTGTCACTTCAAGGGCAGCTCTTCTCTCTATATAATCCATGAGTTTTTGTTTTTTCTTAATGCCATGTTGTATCACAGTCTGAAACAAAAATTAACTACTGCTTTTGTTCCTTTCATTATTTAAACTGAGAGATGCCTCAAACACTATCTGGGATAGTGAAAAGTAAATCAGCCAGTCAGTTTTATTTGTAACACAAAAGACATTATTTAACTCCCCTCCCAATTTAATCTTATATTTCTCTTATCTAAAACCATACAGTACATGAATGAAAAGTCAGTTGCTCACAAATCCATTGCTGTGCAGTCTTTTACGTAAACAAAGTCACAGGGATAAGCAAATGCCTTCCTTCTAATTAGCAGTGTGTTTTGTGGTTCCATACATTCCAAAATGTAATAGACAGCTAGGGTGCCTAAAATAATTCCAGAGAAAAAACTTGTATGCCACGAAGATAGGGGTGGGAGGGAGAGCAGTCAGGAAAATCTGTTGTCTGTGTTCTTGGAAGCCTTTTCTATCTCCATTTGGATACTGTCAGCTTTTTACACAAACATTACAGCATCCAAGGGGAATTAGAAATACTTACCCGTGACCACAATGTCAGATCATAGGTTTGTCAGGAGAAAGTAATGCAAAAGCAGGATCTTGGACCCGCTGCTTTAATTTTGGTGTTAGCATGCTGATAAATGCCTCCTAATGCTGGAAAGAGGTAAGGCTGGCTGTCTAGGTGGAATACAGGAAATTTAAAAATCTTACCTCATAGATGTGAAATGGTTTCTGGATCTGTAAAAGTGCTGTGTAAGCCCTAAGTAACAGTTATTGTTTCTTGTGATGTCTCTGAAGTTACACAACAGCTTCCCTTTTTATACCAGTCTTCCATGAAATGGCTAGGGACCACTCAGGACAGGGACACAAAACTGAGATGCTACTGGTCAAATGGCTTCTAACTGAGATAATATTAATCAAATTGGACCTTTTACCTTCAACAAGATTTTTTTTTTTTTTGTAAATGTACCTTATCACAATATCAGTGAAGAGAGAAAAGGCAAAACTCTTTCAAGTTTTCATTGGTTTCCATCCCAGCCTTTTTTCACATCGGTGCCATAGCCAGTGTTGGGACCGCAGTGTAATCCATGCAGGGTTGAACAAACTGGAAGCCTGTGAGCTCGGGAGCCTGCATGGCCACGCCGCTGTGCTCGAACCGCAAGGAGTAAGCGGTGTAGATAGATCCTGTTCGTATCCAAAACATCTACAGAGCTGTTGTGTTTGCAGGGCTTGACCAGGCTTCAGCCTCCCTTAGGTGGGAATGTATTGTAGCTTATGCTTCCATCTAACCCTTTCCCAAATCAAGGCAGACTAAAATCTAGTTTATAGGACAAAGCCTTTACCTAAAGGCCAGACAGCTGTAGGGCAGGAACAGCCTGTTATTGGGTGGTTATTTTGTTATTTCCTCCCCTCTCTCCCACCCTGTTGCTAAGTGGAATGTAATCCACCTTGCCAAAGCCCATCAGCTAAAGTTGTGATTTTGGGGAATGGAAACAAATGAGCTGTGTCATACAGCTGCACAATCTCCTTGAGGTGCAGGTCTGCTGGCTGGACACAAACCAGTGCAGTACATACTGGTTCCTAATGCTTTCACTTTAGCCCAGTATATAGGTGAGGAAGTTGTAGGAGAGAACCAGTGCTTTGAAATTGATCCTGATGAACCAGAAATGAGCTGCCAGTATTTAACAATGAAGACAAATATTGGACCAGTTTACTGGGGGATATGCCTGGACCTTTATAATTGGAAGTCTTTAAGTCTAGATTGGACACCTTTCAAAAGAAAGTGCCTTGGCTGAACTGCCAGTCCTTGGGCTTCATACAAGAACACAAAATGTCCCAGCCTGTGCTGGACACAAGGTCAGACCAGCTCAAGGATCATCAGTTTCTATATGTTGCTCCTCTTCGATGTTCTACTTCTGCTCTCTGGGCCTCTGCAAAGAGGCTAGTGATGAGCCTGGTTCATTTGTCAGGAGCCTTCCTGTGTCTCTTGGCCAACGTCTGCAGAAGTTGCTCTCGTTAAAAAAGTGTTAGGAATGCACCAGTGGCAACTTCACTAACAGCGAGCAGCTGTTCTGGTGATGCCCTCCAGAGATGTGGCTCCTGCAATCTGAGCTGCTCCCTTTTTCCACACACAAGTAATTTCCCAAAATATTTATCATGGTTTTGATCTTTGCCTGAAACTGAATTTTCTTTTCTACGGCAGTGCTCTGGGTTGGAAAGGCGATTTTTCACTCAGTAGATGAGGTTGTACACATGTAGAATGTTGGCATGTCTTTCCCTTGAGTTTGGTTAAATGAACAAATATTGTTAAAATTTAAAATCTAAAAGTCTTATTTAAACATTAATCTCTTACAATGAGTTTAACCTGCCCACATAAATGTAGTTATGAATTGTAATATATTAATGAATTAGAATAGTTTGTAAATTGACAATTTAGAGCAATATGAAAAGACCCTGTGTTTGTATCTTAAAATATAATGAAGTAGCATTAGAGCTAAATTTTTAACCTTTCTTTTCCTGCTTTTTTTTTTTTTTTAGTGTGTGGTTGTCTGCTTTTAATGTTACAGCAGTAGTTTGTGGCCCAGAAATAACAGTATGCTAACTATGAAAGTTGGAGTGACTCAGGGCTGACTCGAGAACTTTCTTCATCACCTTTTGCCTTCAGGAGACTGTCACCGTAACAGTGTTAGCAGCTGCCCTGCCAGGCTCCTGAGCAGTGCAGAAAAAGGACAGAACTATCTGTTCTCATCACATGCACAGAGCCGTTTCAGTGGAAAAGTTGAGCTGCTGATATTTCCATAGAGATCGGCCTAGATCCATGGTAGTACTTAAAGACTTGCGTCTTCAGTTTTCTTAGCTATTTTCTGCAACTCTAAACAAAAATAACCATGCTCCAAATTCAGAAAGGTCACTATCTTCAACCACAAATTTAATTAACACTTTACCCTTCTGCTGACGTGGCTTTGTTTGTTTTTTTTTTTTCTTTCTTTTTTTTTTTTCTTTAGTTAATTTTAACCCAGTGTCCCACGTTAGGAACCTTTAGTGTCTACTTGATGCATCCATGAGTGGCCCCATGGAAGTGATCACCAGTGGGAGCCAGGGTTATAGCCAGCATTACACCATGGAAAGCTTCCGATCTCCTGTTGCAGACAAAATGTCTACAAAAACAATACTACTACTTTCCTAAATTCCTGCATTTTGCAGATGCGAAGCTCAATTTCTACAGGGGAAGCCAGGCTGTTTTGAGGGGGGCATATAATGCTCTGACTTTTTGCTGCTGCTGCTAATTTTTGTGAGCACCATAGAATACAGTAGAAAATTGAAACTGTGTGAAAGATCAACAAATCAGTGTAGAATGTCACGCAGCAACATCTGTTAACTTTGGCTCTATCTCATATCCTCCTGACCCCTCCTTTCCAGCCACAAGTCTCCTGTTTTGTGAGAGCTCAGAGTGATAGGGACTTGGGAGGGTGGTGGTGGTGTTTGAAATGTCTAGCTGTTTCTCAGTGGTCTGAAGGGCTTGCAAAAGTACCATCTGGAATGGAAGTTTTATGTTTGTGTGTTTCTATATTTTTAGTTATGAAACAAATGGGAATTTGCTGAATGAATTAATTGTATTGCGCTGTAAAAGTCTATCTTGAGAGCCATTATATATGGGAGCTTACAAAGCCTGCAGAGAGAAGTGGAAGCAGCTTCCCTTTCTAATTAGGGCTTTTAGGAAATCATTGATTACAGAATCGAATAGGGTTTCTCAGAGACATTTGTTTGATATTACTTTTGATAAATGAAACTTTAACCTAATAATAATTTTACTAGTGACACTGGAAGCAGCTGCACTCTCTAATGGTAAGCCTGCCTTCAATAAAACTTTCCCCTTTCCTCTTACCTTGTCCAAACAGTTATAGCTAATGAAACACTACTTCCAAACTGTAGATCCCATTAAAAAGTCCAAATCATGAAAAAACAAGTGATACAGTAGATAGTATGTTCTTAATGGGATGGGCTTTGTACGGACCAGGTTAATGCGATAAGCTTGTTCTTGCATTGCATTAAAAAAAAGCCAAAACAAAACTTTGACCCAGTAGTAGAAATGTTTTGCTTTTTCTTTTTTTTAACAGGGTCAGCAGATTTCACTAGCTCCAATACAAAAACTAGAGGAAACACTGTATGAGTATCAGCCTCTGCAAGTGGAGACATATGGACCACCAGTTCCAGAGCCTGAAATGCTTGAAGAGCTGGGGTAAGTAACACAGCAAGTTTTAATTCCTGTTTCATAGCATTATAGCTGGGACTGTTACCATCTTCAGTTTTCCAGCATGTAGGGGTTTTTTTCTTTTTTCTTTTTTTTTTTTTTTAAGGATCTTAACGAAATAGTAGACTTCCTGCCCAACCAACATTTTGTTTGGGTGGATAAGCTGAAATTTTTGGTTCTCTAGCCTTTATAGATCTATTGAGAGCTGGACTGGATTGCATTAGTGTTTTTAAGGTTGTCCTTGGCAGTCGTAGTGAAGTAGCTGTTCATTTTCAGTTGCACGGTATTAAAAAATAAATAAATAAAAATCTGGGGCTTAATTTACCCAGCTGTAAGCCAGTAAAAATATTAAAGTTGGGCTGTTTGCCATGGAAAAGGGTAGATTTACTTGTCGACTGCTGTCTACAGTCAAACTGCGTTTGTGAGAAATGAAGCACAGAGCTTAACTTTGTCAAAAATATAATGCAGGGCTGGTCCAGCAGCTTGGCGGCATCGTGGTGTGCAGCCATGTTTGGAAGGGAGTTAGGGAGCCTGCTGTGCCTGGGTAATGGAGGCTGGGAAGTCCGAAAGTGACGTGTCTGCTCTTTAGAGAAATATTTGTAGCTGAAACACCACCTGAAAACATGTAGCTACTGGGATAGTGAGTGTCACCCAACTCTTCATGGCCTAAGCTTCAAGGTCAACAGCACTTACAGTGCCTGGAAAACTACGTGTCAGAATGAACGTGCAGACTGGCAAGACAAGAAAGAGTTTAAAAAATAACAGTTTACGTTTGACTGTGCAGTATGGGAAAACTGAAGCCACAAAGTGTTGAACAAAGTTGAAACAATTTAGTATGCAGTTTCAGAGACCACTGAAATCCAAACAGAGGTCCCATCTAGTTCACTGGCACAGGAGAAATTGTATTTCATCCAGAAAATGATAGAGGTAGACAGACTTTTTAAAGTAAATAAGCAACGTAATGGTGCTTCAGAAAATTCAAGGCTGTCTGGAATTGAGGTTGTCTCCATTTTTATTGCTTCTGTGTCCTCCTGATGCCTGTAATTTTTATTATCTGATATCAAGCTTCTGAGACTAAATATTAATTAGCAGTTTAAACTTGGGCCGAGCCAGATTTAGCTTTCACCACCTGTTTGGATGGAGCACAGTTGTGAAGGGACCTCCAGTGCAGGGGGAACTTCGAGGCCCTCTCAACTCCAAGACTCATCAGAAATGAAAATACTTGGGGGGAAAAATAGATGACTTGTGCAGGGAGGGTTCCTAGTCCCTGTCACTTCACCTGTGCCCCTGTAAGGTAAGTGCTGGTGTCTAGATCCAGCAGGAATTCTGTGTGATCTATGTCCATCCCATCTAATTGCTTGTGACACTGGTTCAGAGTCAACCCAACACCTGGCAAAACAGAATCCTGTAAATACTGCAGTTACATTGCAATGTCTGTGTGTGAGTGTATTTGGAGCAGGGTTTGCAAACAATGCTCACAGTCTTTTCTTGGAGACACTTTAGCAGATGTGTCATTTTACTCCTCCAAGCATGAACTGCCAGGGTGGTTCGGTGTGGCTCTGGAGGGGATGAAATAGTTAAGAGCAGCAGGGGTGCTGGGTGGCTGTGGCAGTGAGTGAGTGGGTCGGTGGTGCCCACCAGAACAGTTCTGTGGAGTCCTGAGGCTGTTTGCAATTCCAAAACAAATATATTGATGCTGTGGGTTCCCAGCCGGTACAAACTCTAACCCTATTCCGTGGGGTGTCTGAAATACCTTACACCATGCAAGGCTATTCGTTTATATATTTGTGTTTCTGTGTTTATATGAACTCATGCGCATTTCCTGTTGATGATGAATGCTTAACTAATGTGCCTCCATCCCTACTTTGGGTTTTTTCAGGCAGCTGCATACAGCTGCCTGGGTGAGGCAGAAGAGCTGGGCACAGAGTTAACCACTCCTGCTAAAGAGTTTTAGTTTCCTCTTTTTTTGGACATATATAAGAACAGGCTAAATCTAAATTTCTTTAGTATGTTTTTTTTTTTTTCCCTCTTTTCATGTTCTTGCTAATAATTTTGCAGTCTGGCTATTTCATTCTGCTATTTATTGCCTCTAAATAGTTCCTTCAAGTGTGCAGGCTGTTATCATCTGAGTTTCTGGAGCCAGAATTATTGTAGATACTGCCAACCTGGAGACTTTGAATTTACTTCTGGTAGTGTAATTTATTGGCTTATTTTTTTTAAAGATACAGTTTATTACCTTCAAACCAGCAGAATGGGTTTTTTGAATATCCATATCTTAAACTCTTACCTTCTGCAATATACACGTCAGGTTCCAGCATTAGTGTTACTTTTCTTGGTAAACTGCTTCAGTGAAGGAGACAGATGGCAAGAAGGTTTCTAGCAAAGAGCAAGAGAAAGGGTCAGCCCTTAAGGGATCACGTTAGAGATCTTTATAATTTAAAAAAAATAAAAATTGCTTTTAAGATTACTTGTATTACTTGCTCATTAGGCTTTACTAAAAACTTTGTTTGCAGTCCAATAAACTCGATTCTGCATCCTTCCACTGCTCTTCTGAGTGGATTTTGCATGTTATGCAGAAAAGGAAATTTATGTTCGAACTGTTCTTAGAAATTTTTTTTCAGTTTCTCTTGGGGCTGTAAATTTTCTTTTTTTCTGTGTACTGCAGAAAAACATTAACATCCTTATGATGCATTTTGCTATTGTGTTGGAAGTCTGAGAATAATGAAGGAATAGATTTATTTTTTTTTTTTTTAAACACAAAAGATTGGTATAATGTGTAGGGGTGTTTGTCCTTCAGGGCCCCTCTGCAATTTTTTTTTAATAGAGGAAGATTTTCTGGAAGTAATGAAATATAGGCAGTAATCCTGAATTACATGGCTTTCTGGGAGCAGTGTGTGTTACACTGACTTGTAGGTTGTATTTAACCTTATGGCAGGGGGAGCGAAGCTTCCTCAGAGCCAGCCTCTGATAGAGGTTCCCATGACTCCGTGCCTGTGGGGTTACTGCACGGAAGTCTCAATGGCTGGTGGTCTCATGAATATGCACTGAGCATGCCAGGGTGGTGATGGTTTGATCCGGGTGTTAAAGGTCATTTTGGGTGTGCAGGATGTGAGGACCAGCTCATGCTTGTCTCAGCTCTCAAATGGAAATGTGACTTGAAGAAGGGGAGAAGACATGTATGAGACTATCTCCCAAACCTGGGGTGCCGTCCTTGGAGAAAAGTGGGGTCTTGGATCACTGTAAGATCCCTGTCCTGGAGGTGGGCTCTACGGCTGCCTGTCCCTCCATGATGGCTCATAGTCCTGGGTCTGTGTGACTTGGTCACTACTCTAAATTACAGAAGTGTTCAGTGACATGCATTGGGAAATTTGTTGGTTTCTGGGTGGAGTTGAGGCAACCTGCTAGTGGTTGAGCCATGTCTTATCAAAGGCTCTACTGGCTGGCACTTCTGCCATCACCAGAAACAGTTAAGTTGATATAGCTTGAATAAAGTGGAGAGTGTTTTTTGAACCATCTTCTGGTCCAAATCTGTTGAACTGCCAAAGTCATTGCAAGGCTGTGTGACCTACCATGGCTTTCTGGGAGAGGAGGAGGTGTGTGGTTGAGAGAGGGAGCATGAGCACCTGGATGCTTGGGCACTCACTGCCATTTCTTCAGGGTTTTCTAAGAGGGGAATAAAAGGCCTGTTTGGGTTTGGGGTTGGGTTTTTTTTGGTAATGTTTTAGCTGAGCACAATGAATTCATGTGGTTGGAGGTCTGGATTTTTCTTACTGCAAAACAAAGAAATTAAAAATATAACAAACTCTGACATGCCAAGTAGTGAAAGACCAAAACAGGATAGGGATGGAAATTAGTTTATTTTTTTAAAATGTATGTTTGTTATGTAGTTTTGATTAAAAAACAAACACCCACCCCCACCCCCACACACCCCCATGAGGATCAAAATTATGTTTGTTTGAGGTCCTGAAAAATGTAGACATTCTTGGCATTAATTATAAGTACGTACGGCTAGCAGGAGCGGCCACACAGCGTTCTCACACCAAGTATTTACAGCTGTGGAAGAGCCATACACAAGCTACTTAAAAACTGACTATAAATCAAAAATCTGCTTAGGTGATTAACATTTTGGGTAAAGATGTGTGAACTTCATGTCTCAAAGTTTAGAAACAGTCTCTTGTAATCCAAAATGGATTGTACTTCTAGCACAGCACCAGTGCTATTCTCACAAAATAGAGGTAGTTTACGAGTAAAATAATTAAAAATTCGTTTGCACTCCACTTAAGAATCCTCTGTCTTAACAGAGGATTTTTGTGCAGACCTTGTAATCAAGCTAGGCCTGGGCTGTTTAAAGTAAAATTGTTTGCCTACTTGACTTTGTCTGAAGAGATAGATCCTGAACATATACACGTGTATATAAAAAAAATTGAGTTTGCTCCAAAAATCTTGGTTTTCTTTAGGGAAAAATGTGACTTCCCTTTGATCTATCAACTTGTTTTCATGTATAACCACATTGTTAGGAGCACTCTAGTTAATTAGTGTTTTGTTTAAATATGGTGCAAAAATGAAGTTCAGTGGTGAACACTAATGAGGATAGGTAATATACTTTGATAACTTAAAAGTTAAATCTAAGCAAAATGTTATTTTAAGAGTTGAGGGTAAGTACTGAAGCAAAATCAGAGTGCTGTGGAAGTTTGTACATGCAACGAATGTGTTTTAGTCCACTGTGCTTTTTATAACAAACAACTGGACCGATTCATTCGTTTGTTTTTTTCCTAGTGTAGGACAGCACAGTTTTTAAATTTCAAATTAAGATGAGGAGGTTAGATTTCATATCTGTTGGAGCTTTGTTTGCATTTAATTTTTAACCTTTATTTCAAGTGGAAAATTTCTGCATATTTCTTTGTTGTACAGTGTTGTAGTGTAATTTGAAACATATGTAGAGTTCTGGCACTTAATCTAGAAATGACTCGTGTGACTTCTTTGCTGTC